CCCAACGTGGCAATTGAGTCTAACTGAAAACCCAAGTTCGAAGTGTGTGTGTGAAAAATATTATGTTCATGTTTTTCGGACCGTGACTCTGCATGACTTTCTTTCAATGCTGACTAATCGGATAGGAACTGCCCAACCGGATCAAAGTTCTCACATAACAGTCAGCATGTGAAATGTCTGCCCACTTCGACGTTTTTCTGCGCTTCAGCTTGTCGTGTGGCAGCACATCGGAGCGCCTGGCATGGTCACAGCATGAACTGGCCAGGCTGGAAGACCGTCGCCTGCGCGGCCGAGCGCCACGCCGCGGTCGCTCGCTCGCCGCGGTGTTCGCCGAGGTGCTGAGTCAGAGAAGAAGCGCCTGGCACGGAGCAGTGTTCCCAAAATGCTCAGGTAGCATTTGATTGCAGCAGTGTTCCCAAAATGTGCAGCCTAAATGGATTTGGAATGCTTTTTCTGTTTCTCCCTCTCTCTCTCGCTCGCTCTAGCAAGGAGAACCACCATCCAGAAGCCATCGAGACAGGAAAACTCTGATCGATCATCATCTGCGTTATGCTTTCATCGAAAGAACTCTGTGACATTGTAGAGGTGAGCTTGCCACACTGGTGTTTTAAGTTGGCTCCACAAAGGGTCACATGTGTCACCTTGAGTTGCCTAGTGGGCGGCTGGCAAGACCAGTCACTTGTTTTCTGGCCCTCCTAACTCCTTTTTCGCTGCCCCCACCCGCCTCACCAACCCCTCCGGGAACCTGCCGCCCGCCTGGAGGTCGATTGCCATTGGGATGGAGGTAAGGTCTTCAGCATCAAGGCGACGCCGGGGCCTCGCCTCGCTGCACCGGTGGATGCGCCGGTGGATGCGGCGGATTCACCGCGCACCGGTCACCGTTCGGGCGCCCGGGCGGCGTGAGCTTGCCGGGGACCTGGTTCGTGAGTTTGCACAAGCAGTGCAAGGGCAGCAAATGCTGGCCCAGTGGCGAAGCAAAGGCATGCGGATGCAGCGAGGGTGTATTTCATGCCCTCAACTACTGGGACTCTGGGGCGGTTGTAGATCCCAAATCGTGGGGTCTAACTGCTGATCCCCTAGGGCTTTGGTTAAATCGCGCTAAGGTGTTAGACTCCCTTAGGGGAACTCCAGCACAGGTCTATGATCATACAACAAAAATTCAGCCCTACCATTCAAGACCTTGCCATGAATCTGGATATCCAGCCCTCAAACAAACCGTTGCTGTGATTCTGAAGTTGGGACTTCGTTTGGAACAAAGTTTGAATCAAACAAAAGCAGTAACCTGATATTCAACATTTGAGAAGAAAACAAAAGACTCGAACCGTGCTCTTCATGACATCCTCACTAAGCATATGTTTGAACGTGCGTCATTGTATTGCAAGACGTTTTTTGAGGCGGCAAACGGAAGCACGGCTCAAGACGTGACAGCAGCACCGAGTTTGGCAACGAAGGGGTGTTGTTCATCAGCTTCAGAAGCTGGAAGGCCCTGCATGTTGACGGCCGACCTCCCTTCCCTGCGACATCAGGTAAACAAAGCAGTTCTTAAGGCGAGTCTATGTTCGGGCCCCAGCAGAATAAAGGATGATTTCTGGTGTGGTGCTGGACATGGAGAAAGCATGAGAAAGCAAAGTAGACCACAGCTGCTCCTATCAGCAGCAACCACAGTCAACACTGAAACCCACACGGACATAAGCCTCAAGCTACAAATGGACAAAAACTTCAACCCATTTCAAACTCATGAGTCAGGGAGCTTTCACGAACCCCTTACCCCAAACTTCAATGTTGAACGCGACTTCTTTCAATTTGCATTAGGGATTGCTTTGTTTCGTCCATTCGGCCAAACGTTCTGGCAGGCTTGCTAACATTGGGTTTTGGGGTGGAAGGGGTCAAGGTGATTTGAAGGGATTGAATATGTTGTCCATCTACGGTAGTACCAAAAGCCATAATGAATCATAACGATAATGATTATACATGTATACACTTCCTATCACTTCCTGAAATAATCATGGAAGTGGAACATGGCCCCTTGAATCACCATGTTCCTCTCACAACAGTTTTCCACTTCCATGTTAGTGACTCGGAGTGTAGTCGTTCTTCGCCCGAGCCGGTCCCACGTCTTGCGCCACCCGATCTCCTCTTCCGACTCTGGAGCTCTACGTCACCCGCGTGCCAGGAGGGCAGCTGCCGGGTGACCTCCGGTGTGTGGCAGCTGGCGGGCGACCTCCGGATCCCCAACTTCCAACGGAACCGCCCAGGTAGAAGGGCGAGCATCAGCCACCCTCAGCGACCCCATGACCGTCCAATCCCAAGTTGGCTGATGCCCATCGCATGGTTGTTCTATGCGATCCCAACGTTGGCTCAACATTTCGCGAGTTCTGGGGAAGAGCTACAGCAATGGTTCTGACCAATTTGTTTCATCACATTCAACATTCATGGAAGTGGATGGCATGGCCTACTGAAAGACCATTGTCCATTGCAAACACGACGTGGCTTTCCACTTCCATGTGATGTGTTTGTGGGAGGGGATCCACCAAATGTCACCTACGCAAGAGCTCTTAAGACCATTGGAGTCCAGCTATGGATCTAATGCGTCTGATACGCATGGCGTTTCTTTCGCCCGCGGAGAAAGGAAGCCACCCAGTGTGATGCGGCGCCAGGAGCTGTATGATATGACTGCCTCCAAAAAAAGAACCGAACAAGTTGATTCCACCATTTCATCTATTTTCCAGAAAAAAACATGTTGATTAACATAAAGTCAGCAGCAATAGGTACAACTTGTTCAACATGCCCTCGCTGACTAGGCAACTTTCACTCTGGAAATCCCTATGAGACACGAATCATTACACTAGCCTAGCCTTTGTTCCAGTTCCATCCTCTAAAACCATATCTATTTATGTAATATATTTATATATATATTATTACGTAGACGTGTCCTTCTTTTTTAAGTCGTTGTCCTTCTTGTCCTTTTCTTTCAGCAGATCTATGCATTTCTTCGGTGTCCCCATCTTACATGGACCCTCTGGACTGAAGCACGGTACTTGGGGCTTCGGTGGGGCCACCATGGCGCCATCTGTTGAGCACCGTTGTGGGGAACAAATCAACTTGCAGATTGGATCGTTTCAA